TATGAATTGTTCCTAATAAAATCCTTGCTTATATGTGACCATATAAGAACTAAAATCATCCAGAATCTCATTTTTGAAAATAAAATCTTCAAGGATTAAAAATGTGAAAATGTACTGGTGTTCTGGTATAACATGTCACAACATATGTCAAGAAAATAACAATAACACCTATTGTACAGTTGGCCAAGATGTCAAGAAATCTGGCTCAACATCTGTATGAGATTCATGACAGCAGAACATGTCATGACAGTTGGTTAAGATGTCATGACATCTTGCTCAACATCAGGTTGTGATACATGTTTTTCCAAATGAAATGTATTTTACAAAAATTGTTTCCAATCATATAATCACAGACCTAACACACTCCATAGCACATACAATGAAATCTATTATACGTTGACCTCGAACTAGATATTTACCTCGGAGGAAAAAGTGGGACCGGCCTTTGGCCGGGCACAATCTCAAGAGACGTTAAAGCATACTTCTATCGTCAATTCGAGGGAAAAATGATGAAATACAAAATGATGAAACAAAGTTGTAAGTGAATAAATGATAAATGAAATCACGAGAGTCAAAATGATGAAATGAAATCATAGGAAAATAAATGATGAAATGAAATCATGGAAAGCAAAGAGATGAAATAAAATCGTGAACGACTAAGTGATGAAATAAAATCATATAAGACAAAACAAAATTAAGGGAAAGTACATAACTAACGAGAAGAATAAATTATTGCAAGTTTATAACATGTTTAACGTGAATCTATTACAAATGCTATAAACAAAAACAAATTACAAAGACCCGCTACAAAAACTAAAGGTCTTTCTCCTCTTGGACAATGACTATTTTCTCGCCAATAAATTTCTTCTTAAGATCCTTGGAGTCCTCTAAAACCTGAACATTTTATCACAACACTTCCATTTGGTTGATGGCGTTTGGGAAGTCCTAGAAAGCATCTTGGATGTTGTTATCAACAGATTCCTTGAACTCATTCTTCACATCCACCAAATCATCCTCTCCAACCTTCACCTTCTATTTTTCCTCTTCTATCTTCTTATTCTCTTCCTCAACCTTCTGTTTCTCTTCCTTCAAGAAACACTCAACTTCATTTAACCGAGAGGTCAACATTGACTGGCCACTTCAGAGTTTCCCAACTATTTCCTCAAAAGTTCAAGAGTTATCTTATTCTCAACAAGGGACACCTTTAAAGAAGTGAATCGTAAAGCAAGGTCAGAAGTTCATTCTGATTGTAGGCAACAAAGTCATGATGACTTTTCTAGGGCTCATTCTCCTTTGAAGGATTTTAGGGGCCATAAACCTCACCATGGCCAACTTTCACTAAAGACAACAAAGCAACACCTCATTGCATATGATAAGTTATCTCTGTCACCAACTTCAGTTTAGCCGTATCGGCGAGGTTCCGATCATATATGTACACCCATAGGTGATGCAAGGGAGTACCTCTTTGGAAGTGTGAGGTATTGAATGCAAGAAGACTTGTTGAAATTTGAAAGGGGGAATATGAGCTTCATTGCCGCCTAATACAACTACTCTGGTTACTGATCCTAGTGGTTTATATTTTTTGGTAGTAGGTTCTTCTTGGGATTTATCCTCACTAAGACCCGTCATTTCCTCGCCAAACAGGTTTTCCCCTCTCGAGCATTGGTTCCGTCCATAATCGCCCACGTGCTGATAAAGAACCTTTTATGCTGGATACATGGTTCTCCTGAAGGACCAACCCTTTCTTCAAAGCCTAAGTTCTCCCAAAAGGATATCAAAGCTGCCCTTGACGTATCTTCTTTCAGGGTTAGAGAGTTGGACTAGTAAGGGTAGGTCCTCGGTTAAAATGGCTATGGACCCAGTATTTGAAAAATCCCCCTTGCACTTCACTAGTTCAAAGCCCGAGGGGCCATGAAAGGGAGCCTTTACTTTTAGAACCTTACAGAAAATGAAATGAACTTCTAGGGTCCAAGGAGTCACCAAAAAATAACAGTCCTTGAAATTCTTCCAACTTTCAAGGTGCACGTCAAATATTTTGACTGGAAAATCAAGAGTATCCCATGTTCCTAGTTCTTGTCAACGCATGTCTGATTTATGTTCTAGAGATTGAAGAACATATTTAGATAAAGTTATTTTTCTTAATACTCACACCAGTGTTGGAACACTTTTAGAAATGTACAGACTATCATGTGCAGCTCAGGCATATCTATTTGGAGATGCTTTAACACTTCTCCTCAAAGTCACTAAAAGTTAGTATAAATTTCAACCTAGAAAACAAGTATTTGTAGAACACAATCAAGCACATGTTGAAGGAGATACATATTCTCTTGGAGTTGTCAACATGGAAGACCGACTAGCTAGCAGAAAAGCCCACATATGTGTGGGAACTCTCCAATGGGAGACACTGTTGAAGTAAGAAGCCAATCCAAATGATTCCTCATCCATCCTGTGGTATTGAACGACATCCTCAAGTGGCGCCAAACCATGGCATTCCTTCCTAGCAATATCTTCCCTTTTGTCATGAAAAATATAACATCGTTCGTGAACTCAAGAATGGATTCGAAAGATAATATGAACATTAACCTCTATGTTATTGGGATCTCAACTATTCACCTCCATAAAAGATTTAATGAAACAGTAAGTCAATCATTCATTCTAAGAAACCTCAACAAGTTATAGATCTAATGAGATGGAAGTGGAAGAAGGAAATCAAACCACACCCCTAACAACGAGACTATCATGGTTATTCCCATCATCTCATTTGGAGGAGTCATCTACACCTTCAAGGGTGTGTTTGTTTCAAGTTATAAAATTACATTCCTTGGAATTATATTCCTGGGATTATTGTTTCTAGGAATAATATTCCCACTTATGTGTTTGGACAAAAATTAAAGTTCCTAGGAATGTTTACAAATTAATTTAATTTAAAATTTATAAAAATAAATATAATGAGTAGAAGTCGGAAGTTATATGTAGTTAAGCTTATTCCCATGGGAATCTTGAATTCTCACCCTTTATGCCTTAGAATAAGAATAAAAAAACTACGTGTAAATAATATTCCTTGGAATAATTTTGTAAAACTTGAATCAAACATAAGAATATTATATTCCTATAGTCATATTCCTAGGAATATGTGTTGTAAACTTGAAACAAACACACCCCAACAGAATGAAAACTAGAGGGTTCCATACCACCTTCAATGAGACCTTCTCTAGACCCAGAGATATCGCTAAACACGATAAGATTTACAATGGGTTGGTTAACTTCTAAAGAGTCAATATTTGGCATTCCTGGATTCACAATCCCATTAGTGGAAAAATGAGTCATCACTACCAGATATGTTTATTACATTTGCAGGAACATTTCCCAGGTGGGCCATATCTATAGCAACATAGAAGATCAATGAAATATAAATAGAAAAGAGAAAAATGGTTCCTAAGAAAGACAAAAATGGAGATAATAGTTAAATGAGATAACCCAAAAGGTGCGTTGGACAAAAAATGTATAATCCAAAGAAGGAAAAAGATTGACAAAATGGTGTTGACAAAGTTTGAAGAAGAAAATAAAAGTGTGTAGAAGAAAGGGAACTCACAGTTTGTGTAAAAGGCGAAAAGAGTATTGAAAGGGGTTCAAAATGAAAGGAAATGGAGATGCAAGAAATCAACGATTAAATTTCACTCGAAATACAATGACACTTGTGTATCATAGGAAGAAGCGTCATTCCATGGTCTAGAAATCTAAGGCCACATGTCAAATAAATCTTGTAAACCGTCTCAACGACGAGACTCACTTTTAATGCACTTGTTCCCTAGGTTATTCACGCCGATTTTAAAATATCTTCCACTTTTCTAAGCAACGACCCTAAAACGGAGAACCCAACTCAATTCTATAAAAGGCTTCTCGCTGCCACACCACAAGAAGTTTTGTAGGCAACCGTTCTAGACCGGCCAAAGACTCAATAAGAGAAAGCCCACGTCTAATTTAAATCTAGAACACTCAAACTAACTCTCATGCATAAAAGATCTCATGTGATGAAAAAATATGATAAAAAATATTTATTGTCACTCACATCACTTTTTATTTTCTTGTTAACTTGAGTGTTGAAATACTAACTTTATAAGTCTGCTTATTATGCATTGTACCAAAAATTTATTCCATCATACAAAAAATTGATTTCACTGTTCATCAAACAATTCTAAGAGTATTAATAACTTATCTCAAATATTAATAACATTGTCGCTAAAAATTTAAAAGACTTACACTCTCTAATCACTAATATAAATAAATTGAACTTTTTTTAATACATTTAAGGTATCTAATCCATATATGAACTAAATATATTAATTAATTTTCAATACTAAAAAAAAATCAAATTTACTTAAAAAATATATCAATTTTGTTTAACCTTTTTTCTTCCTTATCATCAAAGATTATAACAAAATCTCTTTTCACTAAGGATGGGCCATCATGCTTATAGCTTTCAAATAAAAAATACATAAACTCTTAAACCATTGTGCACGTGGTGTATTGTTCAAATAAATATAATATTTAAAATATATTTTTCTGTTGAGAAAGAAAAGTCCAAAAATAAATAATGAAAAGAAAAGTCTAACATCCAAAAAAATCTTTGATTGAAATATTGAAAATACGTACTACCTACATATTTAACGAATTAAAAAATAAAATTTGATTATAAATCGTTACAAAAGATGAATAAAAAACGTAGATAAACCTTTAATTTATTAAAAAATATTTTAATATTTAAAGAAAATTAAAATAAAAGCATTTTATAAATTTGATTAACTCACAAGGGCACACGCAGTATTCGCAGCCGCAGCTATAGCTTCACTCTTCTCTTCCACATTGCAAACTCTTCACCACGACCATCTTACACTCAAAGCGACGCCGTTTTCAATCACACTTCTAGGGTTTTCAATTTTACCCTAACCGCTTCAAATTCGCATCTGATTCGGATCTTTCTGCGAGCTTTGAAGGTTATCATGGCTACATTGAAGACCTGTACTGGTGCTTGCTTCACAGGATCCGCTTTTCCGCTTCATCATTCCAATGTTACTACTAGTAACAAAAACACTAGGTCCAAAATTTCATTTTTTTTTAAAGAATTTGGTTGTTGATTTGCTGGATTTTGATATCTGAATGATTGCAGTGTTTTTATGCATGTTTGTTGGGTTTATTTTTTTAATCATTTTTGTTCTGTTTTGATTTGTTTACACGACGCACTTGTGGACTGTGGCTGAATCTGTGTTTGGTGAGGTTTTTTTATTACTAGCTGTTATGAATGAGCACCTACACTTCTGGGAAAAAAAACTGTGTACCGAGACAGACTTGTGATTACGTTTAATTTATTTATTTTGCAAATTATTACCAGTGTTGCCGTGTTGGTGTCATGGTCAGGGTGTCTATGCTTCATAGTGCATGAATGAGAAGTTTGTATGTTTGTTACTTTGTTTCACTGGTTAGTGTGTTTGTTTCACTTGTTCTTATGTTAAGATTGAGACATATGATCATTGATCATTCAATTTTGTTGTATGGCCAAGATTTGTATTGAATGAGTGTGTTTTTTGCATTTATGAAGCCTGTGATTGATTCTGATTGCATGGTTGAAAAACATCAATTAAGGACCATCAATTCAAATCTTGGTAGGTTTGAACTGTTTAATGTTTACATTTGTCTGTATTGTTCAGGAGCTCTTGCTGGAAGCCTACACAAGCAGCTGTGAAATCCACTTTCCATCTCCCAATGCGTAGTTATGAGATGAAGAATAGGTAATGAATGAATTTACTCTACCAAATTCTTTAGTTTTTATATTAAATTCTATGTTTTCCATTTGTTTTAATCTTTTCATTTTTCTGGTTGATTTTTATATAGATTGTGTGCTTATAGTGATGATATGTCTGTATTGTGTAGATTGGAGGGAACTAGAATGTATGCTCTGGGTAGGATTTCTGGAAGAGACAAAAAATGATTTTGCATTCTGATTTGTGATATGTATCTTTAATCTGTAAAGTTTTTTCACATTGATTCATATTTCCACCCTAAATTGCTACTATTCCACTGCATGCTTTAAGGAGTATATTTAAAAAGGTTTCATGTGTTTCTGGCGTCGTGGCTGCCTGTATGCGTTTCTGGCGTCGTGGCTGCCTGTATGCGTTTCTGACGTCGTGGCTGCCTGTATGCATTTCTGGCGTCGTGGCTGCCTGTTTGTGTTTTTGCTGCTTTTGTTTGTGATCCTGGATCAAACAGTATGTACTAATGAAGCTATATATTGTATTTATAGGACTTGTACTGAGGACATAAAGTGTCTGAGATTGATAACTGCCATTAAAACTCCATACCTACCTGATGGTCGATTTGATCTTGAAGCATATGATGCCTTGGTAAACATGCAGATTGAGAATGGAGTTGAAGGTGTTATTGTTGGTGGCACAACTGGTGAAGGGCAACTAATGAGCTGGGAAGAACACATAATGCTTATTGCACACACAGTCAACTGTTTTGGCGGGAATATTAAGGTTATTGGAAATACTGGCAGTAACTCAACCAGGGAAGCAATTCATGCCACAGAGCAGGGTTTTGCGGTTGGAATGCACGGTGCCCTTCATATAAATCCTTACTATGGTAAAACCTCCTTGGATGGTATGGTTGCACACTTTCAAAGTGTGCTTTCCATGGGGCCCACGATCATATATAATGTGCCTTCACGGACTGGTCAAGACATTCCTCCACACGTGATTCAAAACTTAGCTCAAAGTACTTGCTTAGCTGGTGTCAAGGAATGTGTGGGAAATGACCGAATCAAAGAGTATACTGATAATAAAATTGTTGTGTGGAGTGGGAACGATGATCAATGCCATGATGCTAGATGGGGTTATGGAGCTACTGGAGTGATATCTGTTGCAAGCAACCTGATTCCTGGCTTAATGCATGAACTCATGTTTGGGGGAAAAAATCCTGCATTGAATTCCAAGCTCCTGCCTTTGATTGACTGGCTTTTCCACATGCCAAATCCCATTGGTTTGAACACGGCTCTTGCTCAACTTGGAGTTGTCAGGCCAGTTTTCAGGCTGCCATTTGTACCTCTCCCTTTGGAGAAAAGGATAGAGTTTGCCAATTTGGTGAAGGAAATTGGTCGACAGCATTTTGTTGGAACTCAAGATGTTCAGGTTCTTGATGACAACGACTTTTTCTTGGTTAGTCGTTATTAATATAGCTGGTTATTTATATATTTAGGTCACCTTGTAGACTTAATGTATCCTTTGTGAGGTTTTATGTGAAACTTAAAAGACAAGATTATGTATGCTGTAGTGTTTAATTAAGTCGACTCGACTACTAAAATATCTTGTCTCTTTTGAGTGGTTACTTTGTAGTTGGAAACTAGTTCACATCTTGTTCTGAATTAAACCTGTCTGCATGTTATAAACCTTGTTTTGAATTTGTCAAAACCTTTTTACAGAAACAAACCTACTCATGTTATGAAAATCTTAAATTTATGTTCTATTGCATAATAAAAAATTATATTCTTTGGCTCTTGTATAATTTGTAGCTCTTGTATAACCGACTAGGTGATTATGTTTTAAACTTGGTATTTGGTTTTGAAATTGATTAACTGAGTTATATGGATTGATCTATCCGAGATTATTATCATATAGCAGAATTTGAACTTCTAACCAAGATCATCTGACTGAATTTGAACTTCTAACCAAGATCATCTGACTGAATTTGAACTTCAGACCAAGATCATCTGACTGAATTTGAACTTCAGACCTTGCGAGAAATACGTTCTTAGATTTCACGCATTTATTAACATACCAATTCATATTTGTTTGAGTTATAAAATGTAGACTTAATTGTAATTTTGGTCCTTTCATTTTTATATTTTGAGTTTTGATCCCTTCATTTTAAAATCAAGAAATTTTGGTCCATCTATTTTTTCTTCTTCTGGATTTTATTTTTATATTTTGATCAATTTTTATTACATGGTAGGTGAAGTGATAGTGTGTCATAATTTAGGTGGCATAATTTAAATTCCACATCATTTATAAATATTTTTTATTCAAATAATAATGTAAATTTTATATTTAATATTAAATAATTAGGCTATTTAATTTTATTTATTTATTTTAAATGCAAATTTTGTATTATTATTTGAATAAAAAATAATTATAACTTATGTGGAATTTGAATTATGCCACCCAGATTATGACACATCATCACTCTATCTCTCATGTCATCAAAAATAATATCAAGATGTGATGGTAGATTAAAATTTTGAAAAAACTAAAATAGAGAGACCAAAATCTTTGATTTTAAAATGGGAATTTTAAAACGGAAAACCAAAAATAAAAAAAAGAGGAAAAATAAAAATGAGTTCCAAAATTGCAGTTAAATTCAAAATGTAAATAGATTATTTGAGAGATTTAAGAGTTAAAATAAATGAGTGGTATTTTATAATTAAAAGCTAAAACAAAAAAAAATTTAAAGTAAAATATATTCTATCAAATTAAGTAATGTAAGATTTAAGAGTCAAAAGTTGATTTTATTATCATAATAAAATATAGATAATATTTAAACTAAGATTTAAAACTCATTTTAATATTTATAAAACTGTAAGACCCAATTTAAAATATAAATAACATAAATAATTTTTAATTCGTAAAAATTTCGTAACAATGAAATTCCTATAATTTGGCCTTTTAATAAGTTATTTATTTTTGTTCTTTCTTTTTCTTTCTTCATCTGTATCCAAAAATTGAAATTTCCACTAAAACTATAGTTAAAATAAAATAATTATTTTTCATTGTTCTAAATATTCTCTTGTTTATTAATTTTTTCTCCTTGTTTTATTATAAAATACTTTAACACTCTTCTCTCTTATTTTCCTTTATTTTTAAAAAAAAAAAAACTAAAATAAGATATATTAATAATCAAAATAAGCCACTTCAGTACAAAATTGGTCTACGGAACAAATGGTAAACAAGATAAATGATTTAACCTACATAATTGATAATCATAATTGAAAAAAACATATTTCAACTTTAACCACCAATACGAATGAAGTTTTATTCTTTCAGACAATGCTTGTAATTGCTTCATATTATTCAGGAACATAAGCCTATTGCGCTCTTTCCAAATGATCCACACCACAACGAATCAAATAGTGTTAAAAGCCAATATGCTATTTTTCAAGAACTCACCAAGACCATCAAACTGCAACCAGTGGTCTAGAACTTTTCCTTGAGATATTGTTGAGAATTCTAATCAATTAAGAATAATAGTCCACGACCAACAATACAAATTACATGTTACAAACAAATGATCTTTGTCTTCAGCCACTCCACAGTTTACCACACATCTATGATCATCTGTAATAAGAATTTGTCGCATAATCAAAATGTTCTTTGTCGGTATACGATTCAAAAACAACTTTTACTCAAAAATAGTTACCTTAGGCTGCACAATCTTCAAACTTAAAAATTAGGAGTTAGCCTGATTGTTGATAACGTCAACTTCAGACAGATATTTATAAGCACTGCTAATCGTGTAGCAAGAAAGGGATTTAAAGTCCACACCCAATGATCCTCTACTTCCACCCTCAAAACAACATAGGTTAGTCACTCAATACACTCTCTCACCAACTCCTCCTCCCAAGCAAACAACCTTCCACCCACTTCCACACCTCTCCATTCTGCCCCCACCTCAATTCATTCATTTCTGCTACTGTCACCCCTTTATTCTCCGCTAAATCAAACAACCTACTAAATCTCTCATTCAAAGACATATCATCCAACCAAGGATCTATCCAAAATAGAGTAGATTACCCATCACACATTCTCCGATCAATGTTATCAAACAACCACCCTCCATTAACCAAACCGAAACTCTCTCTTATGTTTTAAAAATTCCTCCACCAAACAAGTCCACCACTACCCCAAAACATAATCACCTCTTCCTTTCCATACCAAGCACTCATAACCCTATACTATTAACTTTTTAACTCGTTTAGAATCTTTCAACATCATTTACCAAGTAATGCTAAATTTAACTCCTCCAACCTCCTAACCCCCAAACCTTCATTTTTTTTCCAAATAAATAATATCCCAATTGATCCCCGAGGTTTTTCTCACTCCCTCACACCCACAAAAACATTAAAAATGGATTCAAGAGAAGATATGATACATGGTGGCGCCTTGAAGAAAGAAAGTAGACTAGAATAGAGGACATGACATATTTTATGAGAATTAAATGATCCCCATAGATAGAAAGTGACTCTTCCACCCGGACACTATTATTTTGATACGGTCAATTAGTGGATACCAAAAATTAAGCTTCCTATAATCTCCACAAATAGGAAGCCCCAAATACTAACAAGGGAGGCGACCATGCTTACAATTTATAATACTTGCTGCCTCATGCAACCAATATTTTGAGACGTTGACCCCAAACAACATGCTTTTATCAAAATTAACTTTTAAACTCGAAATAGCTTCAAAAAGAACTAACACCGCCTTTAAAGCTCAGACATCAACCCAACTTTTAATCCCCGCAAATAGCGTATCATCAGCAAATTATAAATGAGAAACATTAACATCATTTTACGCTCCGACCCCATACCCTGTATACATGCATTTTTCCACTATAGCATTCTCAAAACATGTAACCCTGTAGTTGCAATCAACAAAAGAAAAGGGGAAGTGGATCACCTTGACGAAGATATTTTTCTAACTTAAACTAATTGGTTGAGTTCCCACTCACAAGCACATAAGCAGTTTCCGTAGTAACACATTCTAAGATCCATGTTTGCCACAGTGTTGAAAACTTAATTTTATACATAACGTCATCCAAATACTGTCAGTCCACTGAATCATAGATTTTTTCAAAATCAACCTTGAATAATAATAATTCTTTTTTCAAACTCTGTGCATCATCCACCATTTCATTAGCTATAAGGATGTCGTCCAAAATCTGCCCGTTTTTAACAAAAGTTGACTGACACTTAGAAATAACACTTCTATTCACCTGTCTCAACCTATTAGCAAGAATATTAGATAAAATTTTATACAAACAATTTAGCAAAGGAATAGGTCGAAAATCCGATAATCGTTGAGGAATCTCAACTTTTGGAATCAAAGCTATAAAAATACTATTTATGCCTTTGGTCAACTTTTCATTATGGTGAAAGCCAGTAAATAAGTGCATCAAATCATCTATTAAGACATCTCAAAGATCTTTTATAAAACCAAGATTAATTTCATCAGAATTGGAGCTTTTAAAACAATCACAATCCCAAATCGACTGCTTAATCTCAACCTCTGAAAAATGTAACGTCAATGCAGTGTCAATACCGACCTCTCCTCTGTAGAGATATATTTAAAATAAAGATCTTCTATCCCTGACAATCAACTACTACCGACTAAAAATGATTATAAAAATGATCAAAACTTTTCTTTATTAACTTATATCTTAAATATCTTTTAGATACTTTTTTTAACTAAGTTAAATATGAACTTTATGGTATAAATTAGTTAAAACGCATATTTGTATTTTACTAGTAATGGATTTCTGGCATATTCTCTAGATAAAATTGTGAATGGAATTAAAAGACAATTACACGTGCAATATAAATATTGGAAGGTGAATTTTTCAGTATCCTATTAAATTAAAACGAATTCAATTTATTAGGCATATCTGTTTTTCCTTCACTTTAGTGTAAAGTGGATCAAGAGTTTAAGTTTGTACTCTCTAATGTGTCTGTTCTACTTTGTTTGTTTTTGGTGGATTTTTGTGTTCACAAACATTTGTATGAATTTTTGTAATTTTGGGATTTAACGTTGTAGCGTCATTGGGTCCGTCCAACCCCGTCCTCACTTTTAGTGCGGGTAGACTTAAAAGGGATGGACGTGCCCGTTTTCCACCCCTGATTTTGGATACCCTCTTTAGGTGGCTCCATATACTAAACGAACGGTCGTTTTAGTAAATAAAATTTGTTTTTAAAATAAATGTCATTCTCACTTTTCAATGTAGAAATGATTGTTATTTTTGAATTGTGTCCTTTGGTTATTACTTTGTACACTACTTCCAACATATTTATACGATTAATTTAATAAAAGTTCAATGTCTTATGACAATAATATTATATTCTTTAATCTGTGTGCGTAAATCTTAAGCGTCATTCATTTTAAAACGGAGGTAGTACTTTTTATACACT